ATCAAACTCTAGGTGGATTTACATAGACTTCGACATGAAAGGTTACACTATTATTTCAAGCAATAAATGACCAGTATTACAGTATGCATCCTTGTAGCTTTGCCCCGCCCCTCTAGACCATGTCTACTCGTGGATCAAACTCTGTGCATGACCTCAGTTTTGATGCAATATATAAAAAGAAGGGGAGAGGATTGACCGTTGCTCTTTACCAAATTACATGAAATTTACTGAGCAATGTAACTTAGCAAAAGCAGTTGCCATAGAGATAAAATGCACTAGAATTAGCAGGTGCCTCAATCAAAGGGAATGTTTTAGTTTTCCTTGATGTTAGCATGCTATGGTAAGGATCTGCATACGGTGGCTCTGCCAATACAGAATGTCATTATTGACTATTTTCTGTTGTCTGTGTAATTCAGTTTTGAATGTCGTCTGCAGATGTGTTTACTTCCACTATTGCTGTTCTTAAATCCTGTGAACTTTGCAGTCAGTGTCATGATTCTGGTTGGTTACAGCTTTGATGCCCTTACGGGTGAAACCAAACGTGGAGTCATTCACACGAAGAGTTTTGGAGGTCAGTGCAGAAAAGTATTCAGTGGTGACCAGAGACAATATTATCGCCTGAGTGACAGTGTCCTGGCTTACACTTTCCAGGTGTGCTTCTTTTCTTTCAAACATATTTATTATCTTCAGAATTTGTTTGTGGGGTTGGGGGGGAGGGGGACAGAATTCAATGGGAAGAATCTACATTACCATCCATGTTCAGGTTCAGCTTACAGAGTTTGAATAAATAAAGCAAAATGTTGTGGGGATTTTTTTTTACCTGTCCAGATATTCAGCAGAAAAAAGGTAATGAATTCCTGAATAATAACATTTTAGGCATCAGGGAAGTAAAGTATCAGATTTAAACACTTACGCTCTTATGTCTGATGAAGTGGACTTGTCCACAAAGGATCACATTAACAGGTTCAGCTTACAGAGTTTGAATAAATAAAGCAAAATGTTGTGGGGATTTTTTTTTACCTGTCCAGATATTCAGCAGAAAAAAGGTAATGAATTCCTGAATAATAACATTTTAGGCATCAGGGAAGTAAAGTATCAGATTTAAACACTTACGCTCTTATGTCTGATGAAGTGGACTTGTCCACAAAGGGTCACATTAAAAAAAATATAAAAGTGCCACCAAATTTTTGTCTTTTTATTTCTATTTTGCTTTTACCTGTAATGCTTGCACATACTAACACAGCTAGTCCTTCTACAGGTACACCTGATTTAAACATGCATTTTGAGAGAAAATTGGGGAAAAAAGTGAAAGAGAATACACCTTTGATTATTTTTCAAAAGGAAAATCCACACTTTAAGACATGTTTATGTTGAAAAAAAAACTGCATTTTAGAAATGAATTTAGATTTTAAAACTGTGTATTTAAATCTGAATATGACATGCTGAACCATGTTCAGTGGTTTAGCTATCTGGCTGCAGAGCCTGAGTGTTGAGAGTTCAATCCCCCACTGTACCTTCTTAACAGAGACTGGACTCCATTCTAGGGACCCTTCCAGCTTTGCCATTCTAAGATTATTATTATCTGTATTTACGTACATAATTTGAGAGAATCAAAAATACAAATCTGTGGTATTTTTATTTAAAATGACTTATTCAGATATTAGGTTAAAAGTTTGAGAACTAAATGTGGGGGACAGGGTGCTTGAGCTAACCCCATACGCAACAGCCTTACCTCCAGTCCCTCTCTTTTCTTCTTGGACCTCAACATGCTGAACCATGTTCAGTGGTTTAGCTATCTGGCTGCAGAGCCTGAGTGTTGAGAGTTCAATCCCCCACTGTACCTTCTTGACAGAGACTGGACTCCATTATAGGGTCCCTTCCAGCTTTGCCATTCTAAGATTAGTATTATCTGTATTTACGTACATAATTTGAGAGAATCAAAAATACAATGTGGTGTTTTTATTTAAAATGACTTGTTCAGATATTAGGTTAAAAGTTTGAGAACTAAATGTGGGGGACAGGGTGCTTGAGCTAACGCCATATGCAACAGCCTTATCTCCAGTCCCTCTCTTTTCTTTTTGGACCTCAGCATGGTTACCTTTGGTCAAATGAGTGTACTTGAAAACTGCTACAGAAGTAGGAACTGGCCCAGCAAAGGTGCTGGAGCAACTTCTAAACATGTTCATTCAAATGCCTATAAAAGCCACCTCTGGCTTTAATGCCAAAGATGCAGATGTTAAACTGGAGTGAGAAGAGGTCAGGGGGATAGCTAGCATGCAAGTCATGTCATCCAGGTCTTGCATTTAGCTTTCATTTGTGCAGGTGAACTCCCGGACAGAAGTATGCAAAAGTAACATGGATCAGAAATGGACAGACCTTTCCATACCTAGAAATGACCATAAATATAGGTGGCCTCATTTTCTAATAGGCATCAGGAAGTAATGCCAGGGACCTTGGGATGCTATATTCATGCTGTGCAGGATCAGCATCCTTTGCCCATTTCCTCTTACTATCCATCTACCACTAAGAAACCCAATACTCACAGGCTATGTGGGTAGTTTCAAAGCAGAGATTGGCACCTTCAGCAGGTCCAGGTACCTATATTCTGCTCCCTAGGTCCTCAGAGACTGTGTGGACCTCCAAAATTGAGGAAGAGGTGTGGAACAGAGAGGTGGAAATGGCTAGCAATTTACTTCTGGTATTCTAAAATGGGGACGTGGTGGCGCTGTGGGCTAAACCGCAGACGCCTGTGCTGCAGGGTCAGAAGACCAAGCAGTCGTAAGATCGAATCCACGCAACGGAGTGAGCTCCCGTCGCTTGTCCCAGCTCCCGCCAACCTAGCGGTTCGAAAGCATGCAAATGCGAGTAGATTAATAGGGACCACTTCGGTGGGAAGGTAACAGCGTTCCGTGTCTAAGTCGCACTGGCCATGTGACCACGGAAGATTGTCTTCGGACAAAACGCTGGCTCTATGGCCTGGAAACGGGGATGAGCACCGCCCCCTAGAGTCAAACACAACTGGACAAAAATTGTCAAGGGGAACCTTTACCTTTACCTTATTCTAAAATTAGTAATTGGTTGTTCTCTTTTTATTACTGCCCTATGTCCTGGAGGCTTCCAGAAACAGCAGTTCACCTTTATTGGCTGGGAAAGCCATGTTTTTGGTGAGGAAAGGCAGGTTTGCTGAGTCTAGGGCTTCCAAGAAAGCCTTGATGGACAAGGTGTTGGCCCAGGACCACCTTGGGCCACCTGTACTTTTAAGGATGCTGAACTAGCATCCTTAATAGAGAATCTCTTAGTTGACATAGTTAGTAGCTTGGGGGGTTTGTGCATTATTTGCCGTGTCATTTGTGCGTTTTTCATTCTAACATTTGTACGTCCTTAATTTTGGTTAGTGTCAGCTACTAACGTGGCTAACCTTGGACCTGCTGCAGAAGTAACGCTAATCTATATCCAGAAGCAGGATTCAACAGTTTCTCGGGTGAAAATGAGATATGAAATAAAACCTTTTTTTGATTCCTATATATAGGTGAAAGTTGAGAATGACTTCAGCACTGAATTTTACAATAGCAGCTGGTCTTATATGAAACATACAGAATCCCGTGTAGATGCCAATGATTTCCATGACTACACGGAGAGAAAATACCAAGAGAGCACTTCCAAGGTAGGTACCCCTTTGCTCTTTGCCTGTCCTTCATTTCGTATGGCAAAACGCCATGGCTTTAACCATCAGGTCAAATATGGCTGGTATAGCTGGAATCTAACAGAGTTGGGAATGATGAACATTCATGGAAGGCGGGGGTGGAGGAAGATGGAGCAGAACTGTGGGGTTGCAATCATCCTATCCCCATCCTGGACACCCACTGGTGTGAGCACCACATGAGCAATCTTAGATTTCGAAAACTGCACCCTCCCAAGTGCTGTGTTTTGCTCCCTTTGTGGAATCCTTTCTCTGGAATTCTGTGGATTGTTTTTCAGGGGAATCTGACAGGGGAGTCTAGGCCTGGGAAGAAACGCTTTTGTCCTGGGGGGAGAGTGTGCCGCTTCTTACAGACAAGGGAAGTGCAGCCTTGAGGCTACATGTGGCCCACCAGGGTCCCCAGTGGAGTCCCCCCCCATGCCGCAAACATTCCGCATAGAATTTGCCAGTCGCATCCCAAAAAGTGTATAGGGATGTGATTTAAAGCCTATTGAGAACCAGGCCTGATTAAGATCCAAAACTACATTTAAAAAAAAAGTCTGACCATCTGGTTACTTCCAGTTTTGAAAAATGGATTCTAGTTTTGAAAAAATGTAGTGCACTAAAGTCTGAGAGGGTGAAAATGGCTCCTGAATCTTTTGTGGCTGTCAGCCTCTGTTGTAGACTGTACTAGGCAAATAGTCTGACTCAGCGTAAAGTAGCTTCCCATATTTGTAAGCACTTCGCAAATTCTTCTGTAGTTAGCAGATATCAGCTCTCTGTCCCTTTTATGAACACATTTCTCTCATTGTGACAATGTCTAATTCTTTTACTTTTGCCTTTCTAGAGTAACCATCTGATGGTTATTGAAAACAGTGTGGAAGTTGCTCAGTTCATCAATAATCGGCCAGAATTCCTAAATCTTGCTGAGCCCTTCTGGAGAGAGCTTGCTAAGCTTCCGTCCTTCTATGAATATAATGCATATCGGAGATTGATAGAAAATTTTGGAACACATTTCCTGCAGTCTGGGTCTCTGGGAGGATATTACAAACTTCTCTTTCATGTGGCAACAGATAGTATGAAATCAGCAGGTACGGTGTAACAATCCCCATTCCAAGACAGTCTGAAAGGTCATTTGAGATTAATTGCATTGTACTCCTACAGCTTAAAAAAAAAGAAGCAATCCCATACTATTATTCTTCATTTTTATACAAAGAAAGGGTGTGCATTCTAGTACCCAAGGATCCAATCCAATGGGAAACCCTCTTGCACAAGCTGTAGTGAAATTAGCAGGACCAGTGAATTGCTGCTTGATTGGAAAAGTAAGGATGTGTCTGAAATCTGGCAGACTTTTTATACAAACGTCCCCCAGCCTGCCCTGTGGCACTGGATGCAGCTTGTTCGTCCCATCTCCTGCCTCTTTACGACTGCTACACAATTATACAAACGTCCCCCAGCCTGCCCTGTGTGAACTGGACATGCAGCTTGTTCGTCCTATCTCCTGCCTCTTTATGACTGCTGCACAGCTGCCTGATAAAATATACCCATTTGAAATGCGTGCATGGAAAAATGCACACATTCCAAGTGTGTGCAAAAGCACAGCACAAGCATCTTTCACTCAATAGGTAGGAGCCATGCATGGCCCGCTTTGTGTGCAAAAGCACAGCACAAGCATCTTTCACTCAATAGATAGGAGGCATGCATGGCCCGCTTTCTCCGGGCACTGCTTCTGAGTGGGTGGCCACCAGAGAGGGTGGGGCACTAAACCACTGAACCCCTGTTTTGAACTAGGATGAGCTGCTGAACCCCTCTCTAATGCCCCTCTCTAAATGTATATGGCTTCGGAAGGACACACAGAAAGCACAGCACAAGCATCTTTCACTCAATAGATAGGAGGCATGCATGGCCCGCTTTCTCCGGGCACTGCTTCTGAGTGGGTGGCCACCAGAGAGGGTGGGGCACTAAACCACTGAACCCCTGTTTTGAACTAGGATGAGCTGCTGAACCCCTCTCTAATGCCCCTCTCTAAATGTATATGGCTTCGGAAGGACACACAGAAATGTTCTAGCTTTCACAAAACACACAGAAACAAAGGAAGAGATTTTTCTACTGTAAATCAGAAAACAAAGCAAAAGCAGACAGATGCAGATACAGACCACACGTGGAGATGGAAAAAATAAGAAGTCTATATATGAACTGACCTAAGACGGGTAATTTTTTCTCCCGAAACCATAACTCTCAGGATCACGCAGAGGTCATTGCTATGTTCTCATTGTCTGGTCCTGCTAAATATGTGCATCTTGAAGTGCAAGTACTTACTGGATCAGCCTGGTTCCGTGTAGACACTTGTGCAACATGAGGACCCAGGTTGATCTTAATTTCACTTCTTGAAGCCTTGTGTAGTTGTTTCAAGTGGCAGGTACAAAGTGTATATGGGGGAAGGATTGATGGAACCGGAACATGGACATTTAAAAACATTATGTGCCTGATCATGGTTCCTATCCAAATTAATATCTTCCTTTGAATGCCAGTTTGAAATGGTGAGAACATTATTTGCTTCTTATTTTAAGGGCCAAGGACATGAATAATTTTAGTATGCATTTGAGTCCACAACTAAACCATGTCTCTCCCAATTCCAAAGCAGACTTTTGGATAAAAGTTAAGTCCCAGCACTGCAAAATCTTATCTGTGTTGTGCAGAATTGTCCATTTCAAATATAAATAATGGTGAAAACACAGAGGAGCGGCTTATGTGGTGTAAAGCTATCAGGGAATTCTACAGCATAGAGTATGTTTAATCTTGAAGATAGACATCAAAGATTGTCTATTCCAGGAGCGTGGAACTGTGGCAGTCAATGAATTACTCAATTTTCTTTTCTCATCATGGATTCTTCTGTGTTTTATAAACTCTGCCATTATTTTTATTCTGTCTGGTGAAAGGTACTATTGTTGTTTCTACATTGCCATGCTGTCAACTCTGCAGTCTTCCCAAGCTTGAGGCAGAAGGCAATGCCCTCTCAAATCATCACACCACAGCAGCAATTGTACCCACTACAGTGAAGGAGAAGTATAAATGTTGTCCACCCCCCCTGTTTAGCCAAACTGCCAGGGAAAAGGGTGTTAGGAGTGTGTTGGAATGCCCACCTGCCAGCTGGCCATGCTGATTGAAAAGTACAGTAGTGCCCCGCTAAACGATGTTTAGATGGGAAAAAACTGCTTTACGACAATCAAAACAGCTGATCATCGGGCTTTCAAAATGGCTCCCCGCTGTGTTTCCTCGCTTTACAGGCACCAGAAAATGGCTGCCCTATGGAAGATCTCTGCTGGACAATGAGGTATTTTGCCCATTAGAACGCATTAATCGGTTTTTAATGCATTCTAATGGGCTTTCGCTTGACAACGATTTCGTTCTACAGCAATTTTGCTGGAACGGATTATCGGCGTCAAACGAGGCACCACTGTAGAACTGTGGCTGCAGGTGTAACAGTCTCCCTTCCCCAAAAATGTAAGGGCACCCACTCACACCAAGTCTGGATGGGGTTTGGCATCCCATACCTGAAAGAAGAAGTTGCTTTAGCATAAAGGAGCATCCCATACCTGAAAGAAGAAGGCAATAGCATAAAGGAGCAGTGCGGGGCTGTACTACTTCCTCCCTCATGGAGGATGAGGACAAGACATAGAACAGTCCAGCTCTACTGTATAGAGCTGGTCTCTTCCAAACTGCTTGGCTTTGAAGGTCCTTGGAGTCACACTCAGTGCGAGAAGTGCTACCGAGCTTGTCTCTGCCGATTTTCACAGTCACTCCTCCAATAAAGACCTTTAAAGCTAGGAAGGTTCCAGCTCTGTACTGTGAAGGCAAGCTATCGTTGTCTTCATTTTCTCAGAAGGAGGGATCAGGTGCCACCCACACAGCTGCCTCATACCATTGACAGCTCATTTTTCCTTCTCATGTTTGAGACCCAGAGACTCGCCATGACTGTTTATCTTAGCATGGGTGCCTATTCCATTTGTCTTACCAGCAACAGAGAGGGAGCGCTGTTACGGTTTAGGACCTCAATACTTGGCGAAATGCCTCCTCCCACCTAGATCTACTCATATCGCCCGATCTAGCCAGGAGGGGCGACTGAGGAGCCTAACGCCGAGGGAGGCTTGGAAAGAAAAAACAAGACACCGGGCCTTCTTGGCAGTGGTTCCCAGGCTCTGGAACACGCTCCCCCCCCCCAAGATTCATCTGGCCCCCTCGCTGGGCATTTTCGAAAACCAACTCAAGACCTGGTTATATAGACAGGCCTTCCCTCCGGGCACTAGGTAACTTTCTCTTTTTCTCTATCTTTATCCCGGGCACTATGTAACTTTCTCTCTCCATCTTTATCTACTCTATTTCTGTAAATGTTGGAAATTGATATTTCATATTCAATGTTTTATTTTGTGTTTTGTGAGCCGCCCAGAGTAGACTATGTCTAAATAGGCGGCATATAAGCTAAATAAATAAATTGTGCTTCCACACCTTTCTTTTCAGAAAGGAGGCAGTCACAGTGACTGTCTTCATTTAAGAAACGGTTGTCTTCAGACAATGATAGCAGCTCTCCAGGGTGTCAGGAGCTCTGCTGGTAGGTGGAGGGAAACAGAAAACTCACATACTCCCCAGACTCTTCTGCCAGCCTCATTAAGGCTAATGGCCGAGCTGAAGCTGCCATTTTGGGTTTAGACAGACAGGTAAGACAGACAGGTAAGGGAACCGTGCATTTAGTAATGAAACAAAGAAACTCTTCCTGCTCAAACAGCAGGATAGAAAGGCTTTCCTAGGGCACAGTTGAAATGATTGTGTAAATGCTTCACTGCATAGTTAATGTTCATGTCTGTCTCTTGTCTTAGGCTTAAGCACGAGAGACATGCACAAGTGCTCTACATCAGGCTGGAATTTTTTTTTCGTAAAAAAGAAGAAAGTAGAATGTGAAAAACTGGACGAGCTATTGCGGCAGTCTTCAGGTAGATGGCTGTGTATATCTTTTCAATGAATGTTGCCAAGTTAATTACTGAATATTTCTCAAAAGGAAGCGAAGCAATCAGTGAGTGAGCAGAGTGGGGAGATGCTTCTGTCAGAGTTGGGTTCCTATGGTGTTAAGAGGGAATGTCATACAGAAGCACATGCAGCTATACATGTCCATGCAGATATACATGTCTATATACATGTCCATGTCCTGGTTAGTAATGTCTTGATTGGATCACTGCGGTGTGTTATTTGTGGGGCTACCCTTGAAAACAACACAGAAACTTCAGTTCATGCAAAATATATTATCCAGATTGTTGAGTGGAACCAGTCATGTGGAGCGGACCATGTTTTATTAGTCCTAAAGCATCACAAAGCATTCTATATTGCTGCGTCCTATTGCTTCTTTGCTTTCTTGTTAATTGATTTGTGGGTTTTATGTAAATGCATTTTATATGTTTCTAAATATGTCAGTGAGGAACACAAAGCATCAATATCCGATATATGTGCACATGCATAGATGAAGAACTTCCATACTGCAAGGAGAATCCCCAGTTACAATTCAGTGTGGAATCCCCTCTGGCAAAGAGAATGGTGGAACCAAATTGCAGTGGTAAATTCAGAAGGGCAGACACTCATTGTGACATCTCCTATAATCATCCCACCAAGCAAGAATCACTTTTCCAAGAATCCGGAAAAGTGCAGGCAGTTGTGTTGATCCTTATCAACAAAACCAGTTCTAGCAGTTTTCATCTCCACCAACAATTGGCCTTTGGTAAAATTGACAAATTCCTAGCTCCCCATTCAGACCACTCCCAATACTGTTTAATGTGTATTTCCTTTAATAGAAATATACCCTTTTTTAAAAAGTGCAAACAAAGAGACTGAAAGATGCCCTGGTTTCTTATGTTCTATGTATTTAAACTGGAGCCCATCATCTTAACTTTCTCAAGTCTTGGAATACATGACAAAGTATTTCCAATCCAACAGATGGGCTACATTCAAAGATCCAAGCAACAGGATTTGGGCTGGTAATAATAAAAATCAACTGTTATTCCCTAGCCATACATTAAAGTGATCCTTCCTATCTTGTGGGATGAGGTGGCGCTACGGGTTAAACCGCAGAAGCCTCTGTGCTGCAAGGTCAGAAGACCAGCAGTCCTAAGATCGAATCCACGTGACGGAGTGAGCTCCCATCGCTTGTCCCAGCTCCTGCCAACCTAGCAGTTCGAAAGCGTGTAAAAATGCAAGTAGATAAATAGGTAATACCTCGGTGGGAAGGTAATGGCGTTCCGTGTCTAGTCACGCTGGCCATGTGACCACAGAAACTGTCAACGGACAAACGCTGGCTCTATGACTTGGAGATGGGGATGAGCGCCACGCCCTAGAGTCAGACATGACTGGACTAAATGTCAAGGGGAACCTTTACATTTACTTTCTATCTAATTACATGAAATGATCTTAGGAGTTCAGGGAATATATGACATTTAATGGCTGAAGCTACATATACTTTTTAGTTGATAACTGCCCATACTATATCATAATTATTTGTCAATACAAAATGCTGGCTTTTTAGTATGTCATAGTGCAAATGTTCTTCCAGGTACTACCAGTAATGAGATTAAGACTGATCCATATGTATTGGGAGGGAGTCCAGGAGATGTGGCTGCTTTAAGCTACTTGGATGTGCAAAATCCTGCTGCAAATATTGGACGATATTCCCGCTGGGCCAGATCTGTGTCCTATTACCCTCGAGTAATTAAGCAAAAGGTAAGACTTCAATTTATCTGTGTCCAGCTGGGCCAGATCTGTGTCCTATTACCCTCAAGTAATTAAGCAAAAGGTAAGACTTAATTTATCTGTGTCCACAAGTCAATTCTGACATATGGTGGCCCTTTCCACAGTTTTCTCGATATAGAGTACTTAGACATGGTGCCCTGGAGACATATGGTGACCCTTTCCAGGGTTTTCTCGATATAGAGTACTTAGACATGTTTTACTGGTCCATTCTTCTAGGGGTGCCCTGGGACTGTGCAGTTTGTAATTAATGTTATAGTTTAAATAAGAATTTTTTAAGTCACTCATTTTATTTCTATATAGATCACACCCCTGTATGAGTTGGTGAAGGAAGTACCTTGTGCCTCAGTCAAAAAGCTTTATCTGAAACAAGCCATTGAAGAATATATGAGTGAAAATGATCCCTGTAAATGCCGGCCATGTCAAAATGGTGGCCAACCTGCTATTGTTGGGACTCAGTGTGTGTGTTTCTGCAAACCATATACTTTTGGAGTCGCTTGTGAACTGGGAAATCTTGTAAAGTAATTAAGCAAAAGGTAAGACTTAATTTATCTGTGTCCACAAGTCAATTCTGACATATGGTGGCCCTTTCCACAGTTTTCTCGATATAGAGTACTTAGACATGGTGCCCTGGAACTGTGCAGTTTGTAATTAATGTTATAGTTTAAATAAGAATTTTTTAAGTCACTCATTTTATTTCTATATAGATCACACCCCTGTATGAGTTGGTGAAGGAAGTACCTTGTGCCTCAGTCAAAAAGCTTTATCTGAAACAAGCCATTGAAGAATATATGAGTGAAAATGATCCCTGTAAATGCCGGCCATGTCAAAATGGTGGCCAACCTGCTATTGTTGGGACTCAGTGTGTGTGTTTCTGCAAACCATATACTTTTGGAGTTGCTTGTGAACTGGGAAATCTTGTACAAGACCAGCCAGGCAAGTAATTTGTTTGTGGTTTGAGATTTAAAGTATTTACATCAGAAGTGTGTAATGATAACTCCTCTCCACATAACATGATGTTTGTTCAGTCCCACCATCTTTAGAGGCATGTTTCAGGAGGGCTCTTCTGGTGGCTGATCTTGGGCTGTGGAAGTTGGCTGCCAAGGTCAATAAAGGCATTGTGTTCAGGTTTAACTCAGTTGGATTTTCTTATTATACTGGCTAGAATCCTATTAACAGAAACTTGGCAATTGTTAAGCGAGGTACCACTGTACTGTAATGGCTAAAATCCTGTTAACAGAAACTGTGTAAACAAGGGCAATTGTGTTGCAGTTTCCCCTCTCCTCTTGGCTGTTCTTTGTATGATTCATTACACACTTGATTTTGTAAGCAGCACACAGAGAGCCGGAAACATGGGGGGTGGTGGGGGATGGTTGCCCTTTCTGACTGCACAAGTAAACTGGATTTTAGCCAGTTTGTTTTACTGTATTTTAATATTAGAACTCCCTGTGTTTCGATCTATCCCCTTTTAGTAAATCTCATCATCAGTCACCTTGAGCCCCATTTTGGGAGAAAAAACTAGGATATTAAGTAAACTTGTTCAGAGCTGCCATCTGTTGCCGTTTTTGCTTAAGATTTCATAAAAGACCCAACTCCTGGTTTGCAAGATTCAGGAATCAATAGCCTGTGCAATACTTATGGAATCTATGATTGCTTGTTTTTTTATGAGAACTTTAACCCTCATCAACTAATCCTAGAGATGCTCAGAAAGTCTTTTTTGGAGGAGTCGGGGACAGGGGAAGAACTTGATGAAAAATATAGCTTAGGAGTTGAGGCAAATTATCAACTGCATCCTGTAAGCCTCTTTACCAGGACAACTTAAATATCAGGACTGTGGCTCAAGTCATTTTGCTGATTAGACTCCCTGCCCTGTCAAGGTACATAACGCCAGACAATGATCAAGTTATTTTGCCACCTAAAGCAGAAGATCTCGCAAATGGCATTCTCCATTCATCATACCTGTGTGAAAAACAGACCAAGATCTTGCCTGGAAAACAAGGGAAGAGATGTCATGCCAACAGTCATCCCACATCCATGGCAAGCTATTTTTTTGCACAAATTGGTCACGTTATTGGTTCTGCTCCTGGCAGAACAAAACTATTGAATGAAGGACAGCCTACTGAAATGGGGGACTGCTTCCACAATTTCCCTTCCACTCTGTGTTTCCTTGGCAGGATATTGTCCAGAGTCATGATAAATTAAAAAAAAAAAACAATTTGCTACTCTTACAAGTCTGCTAAAAAGCCTAATGCATTCTTAGGCTGCATCTGCTGATGAAAAGAGTCCAGTCAGATCACAAAGAGTAATCATCCTCTTCTATTCTGCACTGGTCGGGCAGTATCTGAGTACTGCCTTCCTTTCTGGGCACTATATCAGAAGAAGAACATTGTTAAATTGGCACATATCCTGAGGAGAATGGGCAGGATAGTAAGGGGGCTGGAAACTAAGTTCTAAGAGAAACAGTTGAAAGATCTGGCTAGGTTTCATCTAGAGAAGGAACATTTTAAGAGAGACATAATCATGGCCTTCAAATATCTTAAGGATTGTGATGCAGAAGATCGAACAAGTTTGTTCCCTCTTGGTCCCAAAGACTAAATTCCTAGGTAAAACATTAAATGAGGCAGATCTTGTCTAAATATTAGGAGAAGCTTCTACTGTTTAACAGTAGAGGAGGCTGCCCACGAGGTGGTGGGGTCTCTTTCACTGTATATGTTTCCGCAAAGTCTGGCAACTATCTGTCAAAAATGCTGTAGCCATTACTTTAGCCATTACACATCGTACATTCGGTTCATTCCAGGCAGTGGGACTAGATTTGCGTTTCTCAAACTTTGACTGTGCACATGGGTGACGTCCACCCTCGTGCCCCTTGCTTGACCTTCAAGCCTCAGAGCACACGAAGCCAAACACTCTCCTCTTTAACACTGCTGCCACCAGGCGATCCCTAAATCACCATTGCCTCAGAAAGATTCAGGTCCCCTCTTCAAGTTCTTTTAAATAAAACTTTGGTTTATTGATTACAGAGATAGATTCATGAATATCTTCAGTAACTAATCACACCGCAGAATTTCTCCAAACTACACACACTATTACTCTCTTTGACTTTTCTCTACAGCCTCACTCTTACATTTCTCTACTGACTCAATCTCCCTTAATTTCCCCCTTTGACTCTCTTACAGCATCTCTCTTGACTCCGCCTCTCAGCAACATGAATATTCATAAACCATTACATAATACAACAAGAACCATACTGCGTTTTTAAGTAGAGACCCCACTGTATCTGTTTTCGCAAAGTCTGGCAACCATCTGTCAAAAATGCTGTAGCCATTACTTCAGCCATTACACAACGTACATTCAGTTCATTCCAGGCAGTGGGACTAAATTTGCGTTTCTCAAACTTTGACTGTGCACATGGGTGACATCCACCCTCGTGCCCCTTGCTTGACATTCAAGCCTCAGAGCACACGAAGGCAAACACTCTCCTCTTTAACACTGCTGCCACCAGGCGATCCCTAAATCACCATTACCTCAGAAAGATTCAGGTTCACTCTTCAAGTTCTTTTAAATAAAACTTTGGTTTATTGATTACAGAGATAGATTCATGAATATCTTCAGTAACTAATCACACCGCAGAATTTCTCCAAACTACACACACTATTACTCTCTTTGACTTTTCTCTACAGCCTCACTCTTACATTTCTCTACTGACTCAATCTCCCTTAATTTCCCCCTTTGACTCTCTTATAGCATCTCTCTTGACTCCGCCTCTCAGCAACATGAATATTCATAAACCATTACATAATACAACAAGAACCATACTGTAGATAAATGGAGGATGCTACAACATGTCTTGGACTTCACTTCTCCAAATCCTTGGCAATTGGTTCTGCTGGCCACAGAACCCCAAAACTGTTGGGGGAGCAATGATTGAGTAACACTGGCTTAGAGGACCTCCAAGGTCCCTTTGAATTCTTAATCTTGTTATAATCCCATTAACAAATGGCTCTTCTTGCCAATATTCAGGAGTGATTGAAGGAGGCTGGAACTGCTGGTCCTCTTGGAGTCCTTGTACAGCAGGAAGGAAATCAAGAAGTCGTAGCTGTAATAACCCATACCCTAGTGGGGGTGGAAGGTCTTGCATTGGCAAAACAATAGAAAACCAGCAGTGCGAGAGTGATGAATTGCGACATTTTCGGTAGGAATACCACTATGGACATGCCTTACATAAACACCACATATCTTGATTTATGATTCTGTATGTCTTTATTTGTGTACAGTAGGATCCCCCATCTGTGGGTTCAGGATCCACAGATTCACCTTTCCGCTGCTTGAAAATGTTAAACAAAATAACAGATACTGTATACATATTTATACATATTTCAATGGTGTATTTACCAGAATTAGCTACTAAAGGGAACCAGGGACCATGCTACGTATAGCGTTTGTTATGTCCACATTTGTCGGCATCTGTTGGGGAGGCTTGGGACTCATCCCCCATGGATACCACAATCCTACCGTATATAGATACTGACTGCACTTGTCCATTTGACAAGTGAATGTTGAATCTGAAATATGTGATTGCAAGGGGAACCCTTTGCACAAAACTACATTTTCATGTGAATTGCAATGATTTTGAACATTTTGTTTAGACTGGAAGGGTGGAAATGGCTTGTGATAATCACACACGGCTTTTGTTTCTGTGTCCCGACTGTCCCCCTTCCAAACGCTAATTTTCATGTGATCAAATAGCCTTGCTGAAGAGATCTCTGAGAGATATTTTGAAATCGCTTGACCTCCAGAAAATCATGATATTTCAAAAACATTTTACTTTATAGAACAATAGAACCACACTGCTTTGATGTTTCTACGCTTGGCACCGAATCTTGCCCATCACCTCCACCCCTGGAAAATGGATTTGTTGAAGTACGTGAAATATAATCTAATTCCCTTCTTGTCTAAGTTGTATGAGAGGTTACACTGATCCAACTTAGACTACAGTGCTGTTGCCGTTTTGCTCAGGCATATGTCTGAGCAAACTCATTAGAACTTACATCTGAGCAGACATCATAGAATTGCACTATTGGCTTACTATAAGTATGTTAGTGGAGCATATTAAGTTATTTAGTGTCAGTGCCGTATCACAGAGAGACTCCTTCTAAGGAAAGGAGGGAGGTAGGGGGCTATCTCTCCCTTCACAACCTCTACCACCAGCTCCATCCCTCCACATCTTGCCCAGAAGTGATCAAAATTTCAGCTTTTGGATTCATGCCTCCCCAAAGGGTCCACGTTCTCCTCCCACCCCTAAAGCCCCTGAAGGTGTAGGTAGAAAACTCCAGAGCCCTTCTCTAGGGGGGAAAATTATAGGTGGGCTAATTTGGATTTGTGGACTACAGTTCTCAGAATGGTTGGAGAACTTCAGGAATTGCAGTCCAAAAATATGAAAAAACACACCTCTGTTCTTATTTCTGATTTCTGGGGCTTGGGAATAAAGGTACTACCTGGATGGGATGAAGGTGGCTATATTCAGCCTATGGGTAGGAGGATCCCCTTCCTCAATGTCAAGGGAACACAGTCTCTTTAAGACTCTTCTTTTTCACCCAAGGAAGTGTTTTAGTATTCATTTGTTTGAGAACATGCAAGAAGTGTTTTTCTCTTAATGACTGCTTTCTCACATGGCTTAAGAGGGTGGCTTTTCCTTGATCAGGTTTCTCCATGTTCTCAGATTCTGCTCATGAAAGATCCAAGTCTTGGCCTGACATGACACTGAAAAATCTAAAGTTATATCTACTCTCCTATCTGCTAAAGAATTATGTAAGGCTTATTTATGTCCAGTGGCTTTTGAATTTCCTATTATTTTTAGGATGCCGATTTGTCATATCCCAGGGGGAAAAGTATCAGATACACCTGCAATAATGGGTACGCTCTCGTGGGAGACCCTGTTGCTACCTGCAGTGAAGGCTTGACGTGGATCATTGGACAGATGGAATGCCGGAGTATGTATCTGAACTTAAGGGCACCCTGCTGGATCAGAGCAAAGTCTTGTCTAACTGAAGGTCCTGTTTTCCCCAAATGCCAGCCAGATGCCTGTAGGGAGCCCATGACAAAGATGTAAACACAACTGCATATTCCCACTTCACAACCCCAGCAATCAGTACACAGAGATAGTCTGCCTCTGATCTTGGAGAGTATACAGTATACAGCGGCCATGACTAGCAGCCATTTTGTCCCTGAATCTTATTAATACTAATTCCATTTTAAATTTATCCATATTGATGGTCTTTATTATATATTGTGGAAGTAAGTTCCATAGTTTATAACACTCTTCTACATAAAGAAGGAAAAGTGTGCTCCATTATTTCTGTTTGAGGTTAAAGATGGGTCCAGGGTCTTAAAGGGTTGATGATACTCAGGAAATGTAAACCCAAAGTTTGGAAATATTCCATTTTTGGAATTGTATCTCCCGGAGTATCTCAGCCAACAGAGGAGCCGTGGTCCAAAGAAAGGTAACTGTACCACGTTCTGCTTAGATCTCTGGAATGAAATGTGTTTCCTTCCCAACTTTGTTACTTAGAAACATCCTGCATCTTGCCTGAACTGGAAGGAGGGCTGAGCGGACACCCAATGAAACCTTCCTATCAGATTGGTGAGAAAGTACAGCTTTCATGCCCTGCTGACATGCAGCTGGAAGGAGCGACCCTCTTTCAGTGTGAACCTAGTCTTAGATGGTCTCCTAATATCAATGACATCCACTGCAGAAGAAGAGGTATGTCCCTTGATGGCGCTCCACTACAGACAAGCTAGCTTTTTTCCTGTACCTCTAACTTCAAATGAACCCCACACTTAAGTGCTGATGGCTAATCACCAGAGAAGAGAGAAATAGCTGCTATGCTACTCAGAAGATGTGCATTAGTTAAGGATTTTTGTCTTTCAGTCACTGGCTGTCTCTAATGTCTATTTCTGAACTTAATCTCTTAGGAGGATTTAAATACTAATGGCATCACTTACAATCACATTAGTACATGTCCTTTCATGAGGCATATATGGGAGGAGGTGTGATTTTGATTTGCATGTGGGAAGGGAGGCTCTTCCTTCCAGCACTTTAATAGTAATGAAAATCTCCCACAATTGTGCAGACTCTACATAATTCTCTCTCTTTCTTTATCTATTCTGTTTTGTGTTAATGTAGGAAACTGTTACTTTATATTAATTGTTTTTATTACGTGTTTGTGAGCCACCCAGAGTAGACTATGTCTAAATGGGCAGCATATTAGCTCACTAAATAGATAGATAGATAGATAGATAGATAGATAGATAGATAGATAGATAGATAGATAGATAGATAGATAGATAGATAGATAGATAGATAGATAGATAGATAGATAGATAGATAGATAGATAGATAGTGTGACCACAATTAAGGATAGTGAAAAGTTTCCATTGGTTCAAATGAAAACACTTCCCCCCCCCTGCACTACCACAAGTCTAACTGTGGTGAAAGGAATAGGGCACAATTGTCATTGTCATGATCACAAGGAAGCAAAATCTCTCTGTGTGCCATGATACTGGTCTCATTACCCATTTCCCTAATTAAATAAAAGGAAGCAAAAAGAGTGATTAAAATGATGTAATACTCATCACATAGAGTTGGGTCCTTATTAAACACTATGGTAATTGAATCAAAACCAGGAAATGTTTCCTTTCTGGACTACAATTACCAGAATTCCACAATCCCTGAATTAAACATTTCCCGCCCCGAGCTAGATCTTTGATGAATCTTGGTGCAAAACGGTACTCGGGATCTCCCACTCTGAATGAGATGATTCTGGAATGAACAGACAGGCTCTTGTATCTGCTTCTGGATTCACTCCTCTTCCAGATGTTATGTTTCTTCATTCCCTTCAGTTCCCAGCGTGGCTCCTCCTGAGCCAGCAGTGACCAAATGCCAACCATGGGAGAAAGTTCAAGAGACAAGATGTGTGTGTAAGATGCCTTATGAATGTGGGTGAGTTGCAATCGGTCTGGAAAATTCGGTTTCTAAAAGTATGGACTTATGACCAAATTAGAGGGTTTTAGAGGAATAATCTTTGGGCTCCGTTTACAATAAAACATCACAGGGTCAGTTCTCAATCCCCACTCTTCTGCCACTTAAAACTTCATAATTTTATCCATCTTGACAGAGCTATCATTTATTGTTGCCAGAAATGGAATTTAGCTTAAATACACAGAAAGAAAGAGAGAGAAAAAAGAGATTTGGTTTTGCTTGATCTATGAAATTGGGGTAGTGAAACAAGTATACTGTATATGCAAGAGATTTGGAAGCCTAGTAGTGAGTTCAAGAAAGGTCCCATCAAGATCTGAGATATCAAAGCCTAGTGAGATCGTGATATAAGGTGGATGGCTGGAGAGATGAGAAAGAGCTATAATAAAAACATTTATCCTGTTTGCACAGCCATCTGCAGAAGCTGCTCTGTGATTTCTCACAGATGGTTTGCCATTAGCAACTTCCTAGAACCCACAGGATGCGCCAGCGTGATCTCTTTTGTGATTGTTAAGTGTTTTTTTTTAATAATACGTGGCAATTGGTCTGGAAGAGGTTACTTTGATTTCATTCATTGACTGTCTGTGAAATGGAAAGGACATTCACTGGATGACTTTGGAATGGGACTACATATTATTCTCTCTTGCCATTCAAAATAAAAAAGTGGATATTATGATATTGTCCTTTTGAACTGCAAATAAACCAAAGGAACTGAGAAATGGTGGGGAGTTTTTCTTTTGTGCGCAGTCTTTTGCTCAGAATTCCCCAGCCAGCATGATGGGTGGCTCACGGGGAATTCTGGGAGTTATAGTCCAAAAAAGTCATTTTTCCAAGCTCTGGCCAAGAGCCACAATCTTACCACGGCTTCTTCATTAGATCTGTTTCAACCCATTTCAGTGTTCTGAATTGCTGAATCCAGTAGGATACGTAAACGTAATAAATCCAGGGCTGAAATGAATTCACAAGTTTTCACTCCAGGAGCACTGATTGCAAAAATAGGCCCTGTGAACTTTTTTTGTTACTGAGCCACTGCACCAAGGCAAAAATAGGGAGAAACTGGCACAAGAATAAAACTTTTTCTCCACCAGTGGTATGCCAGCCTGTATGTGCCATCACACAGAAGACATCACATATGAATTAGACATGTTTGCAATGTGCATCTGTATGTGTGATGAACTGGGTCTTCACATCCCACCTTTTTCAAAATTTTGTCTTTTAAAGGGGAAGGTTGGGGAGATTAGGAAGACTATGCCTGTGAATGTATGTGCAAACATGGTTCACAGTTTAAACCACCAATGCAATACAGACGCCTCTGGTTGGTTCAGTGGCTCCCTAGTTGTGCACACTCATGTTGTAAAGAGTGCAGAGGCTCGTGTGGAAAGTATAATCCCGCTGCTTTTCTTTTCAGCTCTTCTCTGGACGTCTGTGCTACTGACCAAAGAACTAAGAGGACCACGTTGCTAACTGTTTGTAAGCTGCATGCACTTGAGTGCATGGGCAGGCAGTATGCTTTAGTCAGTAAGGAAAACTGTAAAACTCCCGTTGCATCTCAGCGATCCTGTAGTTCATGCCATTTGTGGGAGACCTGTAACGGTAAGAGAGTGTCCTTACATCCTGACCTGGAAAATGGCGTGCTTCAATATTATTTATTTTATTAAACTTATATACCGCCCATCTAGAACATGTCTACTCTGGGCGGTTTACACAAAATGTAAAAAATGAACTATGAAAATATATATGTAATAAGAGTAAAATGCAGATTAATAACAGAATCCAAGATGGCAAAAAAAGAAAAAGGAGAGATAGGCTAGATGATGGCTATAGGGAAGGCCTGCCTGTATAACCATGTCTTCAGATTGGTTTTATTATATATTGCGGTTGTGGGCACTATATTTTAAACATGGATAACAGTTTCATTTCAGTTCATTTTTCTTAAAAAAATTAGCTAACTTAGGTATTTGTTTTTCAAAGTTGCCATGGAAACAACTTGAGATTTTAGAAAATGAATTTGAGAGAAGCCAACATTTAGAGATTCAGTAGCAGGTGATATGTTTAGCACATCATTGGAAACAGCGCTCCTTTAGGTGGTAAAGATTATCTTTTTACCTCCTTTAGGAGGTTAAAAAATTTCCTCAGGCTTGCCTGAATCCTCACAAATGAGCTTGCTTTGTTTTGTGGGTAGTAACTGATAAACAAGAGCTTCATTTGCAAGTCTGATTTCTCACTCACAGAGTTGAGAAGGAATTGTGTGCCTGGAGGGAAAACATTATAGCAGAACATACTTATGTTCCTTAACATGTGATTTGATCCTCATTTGTTCATGCTCTGAGTGCCTAGCATCTGGGTTTGCAGAAGTCTGGTTTTGAAACTTTCTGTATCCAACCATGTTAGTGCTAAATTATTGTTGCCACCTATTATTTCTGAAAGTGTTGTTTCATTGGTAAAGTGTCATAAATGTCCTAAATTACTTCCATGTCCAATTTCCATTGGAGTGGGCAACATAAGCAGGTCTATGGACCAGTTCTGCCTGCTAGGGGGGGCACAAGTACCCCTTCATTGCAGTGTACTTATGAAATGTAGTAGGAGAAGTAACAGGAAGCTTACACGGATGTCTAAAACAAGCATTGTTTTAAAGACGAATTCTATTTATGGCTATGAATCTAAAGGAGGGCACCACTTCTACATCACTCAATTCACATAGAGGGGTATATATTGTCTCTTTTTTAACGTCAGTTCCTATTTCTTCTATCCCCTCAGTTGATAAGATGGAGAATTGTTGAGAATTCACAAAGCATGCTCCTAACCCACATGTCTTGACCAACTTTTGGGGAAAGGAAGAAGGGTCTTTTCTGTTGTTACTTGTTAGTTCAAGTAGTTCAGTTAATTGCTAATTTATTATTTCTTTCCATTGGTTAACTTGCTCACTTGTGGTTTCCATTTAGAGTCAGCGAACCAGTGCACTTGCAAAGATGCTGGACGGTGCAGTGACGGAGGAATAAGCATTTGTGTTGAGGTGGAGGGAAGCGTTGCCCAGCGGACTATGACTGAATGTGAAGCTGGCATCCTCAAGTGCCAGGGAGAGAACATCAGTGTTGTTAGCATAAAACCCTGTGATGGACAAAATCATTCCTAATGAAGGTACTTTGAGACAGGACATGCTTAACAAAATGTGATGCAACTAAAGGACAGGATTTATGGGAACAAGATGTTATTGAAACTAGGAAAATGACCATCACTATATAGATGATATGGGAAGAGGAAGAGAACAAAAAGTTGGGGTGGGCACCAAATCTCTCTGCTTCTCTAGATACCTGTCAGCCAGTAGCAGGCTTTAGAAGTATCCAGTGTCCTATAGAGTAGATTTTGTCCACATGACAAGCATGGAGCTTCATCTTTATGTTATAGAAGTGCATGTCAGTTGTTCATTTATAAAGTGAACGTCTAAGACTGTATTTGTGGGAAATCTCTACTGTGATATTAAACTGCTCTCAGCAGCTTCAGTTTTCACATCCATTAAGACCAAAACCTTTAGATTACGTCTTAGTTTCTTCTTACTTAGTTCTGCTTCTTAATCCCACTGGAGAAGAGGAAGGGAGCCCTTGGCTTCGCAGATGTTTTGGACCACAACTCCTGTAACAATATTGGCCATGCTGTGTGGGAGTTGTAGGATAAAACATCCTGATGCCCAAAGGTTTTCCATGCCTGCATGATGGCACTTAGCCCTCAAATTTGGTTCACGCTGAGTGACTTGGAGCTAATCAACATCATTTAGTCATTTTTTTTCATTGCTATGTTTTAAGAAAGAGAGAGTGGTGGTGTGGATTGAGGGAAAAGGCAGAGAGAAACAGATATGGATAGTTTCAAAGTTAGCTTCCCATAATAGAGATAATTGGATTGCCCATAGATGTTTCTCTTTTTACATGTTGGTTCTGCAAGGCAAATCTTAGCCTTGAGATAGCCTTGGTACTAGATTTTCTTCCTGACAATTAGTTGTGTCAGTCTGTTCTAGTAAAACAAAAGATAGAAGCCTTCTGGTGTCTTTAAGACAAACAGATTTGTTTTAGCATGGGATTTCTCGAATTACATCTCTACTTCCTGAAATATATGGAGTACAGCTTTCACATCTCAGGTTTATGTCCTCAGCCTACATGGCTGTAGACAACATGGGTCCATTAATATTCAAAGCACATGAAAATTAATATTCAAAGCACATGAAGGGCAACTGGGCAAAGGCAAGGAAAGTTCCTGGTTTTGTTGCCTGTCAGGACCTGCAATCATAAAAGGGACAGTAGATATTTGGTAGGCTACCACATGTTCTTGGTGAGCTGTTTTTAGATGTATATACTTATAATAATCTACACAATTTCACAATGTCTTCTTTAAGTAACCAAAGACTACATAGTAGTAGACTTTTTCAGCCATTCTCAAATATTAAAAAATTGTGACAAATGTATCTTCTGTCAATAAATAATTAACAACGTTTTCACAAAACGCAGCAGTGTAATTCCTGTCTGAGTCACCCAGTGTGTAGATAGAGTGATGAGCTAGGGTTTTGGAGACCAGGGTTCAAATCCCCACTTGGCCATTAAAACTCTCCGGGGGAATGGAACTAGTACAACCGTTTAAAGGCAAATTAAAGGCACTTTCAAGATGCTCATGACTCATATACTGCAATGGAGTTGCATGTACCCCAAATCACCCAAAGAAACCTTTAACCAGTGGCAATTGGCCTGTGAAGATGACATCATCATTGAGTGGGCACCCACTGGGGGAGGCAGGGCAGAGAAGCCGCACTGCTGCCGTTGAGTGGGCACCTGCTGGAGGAGGTGGGCCTGGGAAGCCAGAACAACTGTGCGCCCAAGGTGCTGAACCAGCATGAACCGCCAGCCATAGGTTCATGCCAACTCTAACCACCACCATTAAGAAAGCTCAATCACTTTCATGTTACCCGTCTTCAGAGAATTCTCAGTATCAAATGGCAAGTCCCTGAGACCAAAATCTTGGAACAAACACAGATCACAAGTATTTTTACAATACTGAAACTACAACTTCAGATCTGGCCAAGTCATCAGAATGTTGGGCAGTCATCCCCCAAAACGTATTCTCTAAGGAAAGTTTGTTGCAGGTGCTCAGATGCATGATGGAGAAAAGAAATGGTGCAAGGATATACTGAAGACAACACTGAAGGAATTTAATATTGGCTATATCAATTGAGAAGCTCTCACCCAAGACTGAAAAATCTGGTGAAATGCCATGGAAAGGGGCTAAACATTTCAGAATTAAAAAAAAATTAAGGATGCACAATGGAAGAGAAATGAAAAAGCAAGGATGTAATGGTCCAATGAGTCCAGGGTAATTTAACCTGCCCCACTATTCCTGTATCTTTTGGGCTGCTATTGGGATAGGTAGTATCCATCAATGTGCTATGGCTCAACTGCTCTTTCCCTGCCAAGTGGTGAATATGCCTGTATCTTTTGGGCTGCTATTGGGATAGATAGTATCCATCAATGTGTTATGGCTCAACCTTAACTGCTCTTTCCCTGCCAAGTGGTGAATTTAATGGAAATACAAAGGACAAAATATATATTATGTGTATGGCAAAAAAAACATAAAGTTGAAAATGTCCAAGCAGAAGAGGCTTTAAACAAAGCTGAGGGAAGCTTTTCCACCAAGCCTTTTGAAACAGTGATCAAGGGAGTTGTCACAAAAGGCAAACTGAAAAACTGGTGAGAAAGATGAATAGCCTGATTGTGCAAGTATTCCTTCGGGCCCTTCCAAAACAGCCAAAAATAGCTAAATTTTGGGGGAGGGGAAAGGTTGCAATCAGAAAAAGAAGGCTTATGGGAAGTCCACGGGAAATGTTGGCTACCTTGAGCTCATGGAAGGAAACGTGATACTATATATTAGTGTACGTGACTATATATGTAGTAGAGATGTTCCTGTGTTTGGACAAATGTGCAAAAGGAAACTGAAATCAGGGGTATTTGTGTGACTTGAGAGTCATTATAGGCAGAGCAAAGAGGTGTTTATCCCACCTCTGGGATAAACAAATACATCCACAGATCCTTTGTTCCTCTCCTCCTTGGTTTTAGCTTAGTTTTAGAGAGTCATAGAGTTGGAAGAGACCACTGAGGCCATCCAGTCCAACCCCCTGCCATGCGGAAGCATCCATCAAAGTACTCCCAACAGATGGCCATCCATCCAAAGAAGGAGGTTTTTTCTAAGCTTGTATTACACTGTTATGATAGAATGTGTGTGTGACTGTGGAAGGGTGTTTGTTTGGGCTTTGAGTGGATAGGCCACAACAATTAGAACATTAGGGCATCTTTAAAACTCCCTGCTATTTTTCTTTTCCTCCCCACCCCTTCCTTCCTTTTTAATTACAATGGTGAAAATATCATTTCCTGCTAAAGTTTCTTAGGGCACCTTGTAAGCCATCCGTTCCCTATGTAGCAGCTTCCTTTGAAACTAACTGAACCCCCCACACACACATACACGAGAAAGTATAAGTCCCATAGTAGGACACTACACTAAGTATTTATTGCCTGTCATCTTCCTGAAATTGACAGCAATACCTGGCCTCACCCCAGATCATAACCATTTGTATTTCCCCATTAGCTGGAATGTTTTGTGTTGTGTCTATCCAGAAATACACAACATCATGGGCCTGGACAAGGAGGGTGTGTGAATGAGACACAAATAAGTTTGGACTAAACTGAGATACTTTCCAAAGCCTGAAATTAGATTCCGTATCAGATCAAGGACATATGCACAGACCTTATACATAGTAAATATTAAATAGCGTGACAGCAACAGTAGAAGATATCTTCTGCGTATTAGGAAAACGTATTCTGGATGAAAAACTCTTATCTACTCTTCTTCCTGTGTAAAGTATTATGGGATTTCCTATCAAAAGAAGGTAACACAAGGCAGAGTTGTATAGTGCTCAGGTTTTTCCATAACTCAGAACCCGACTTTACTTTGATTAATCCCTTTGCCAATTTCCTTTCACTTTAGAAGGGCTGTTTACTAAGTCAGCCACTGGGGAAATTCTCTGCACAGGAGAAATAGACAAAATGATAAATCCACAGTACTTACCTTATGCTTTGCTGAGAGGAGAAAACACTGCCAGTGCAGAACTAATAGTGTAGCATGCTTGACAGGATCTTTCTCTCCAGACACAACACTCGGGGTGCATATAAAAACGCCAGACTGTGCAGCATAACATAGATCCCAGTGTGTTAGACAAGCGCAAACAATAAGCTTGACTTTCTGGGGTCTTAATCAAGGGGGAGGAAGAGCTTTCTCCTCAAATGCAGTTTCTTCTAACCTATAAAGTTGGACATGTACAGAATGGCATGGCTAGGGGTAAATATGGCATACTAACCATCATATCCCATGGACAGGCATACACTGCTTCTCCTCCCTGGCATGTTAGATGACATATAACAGGGAAAGGAATTTTCTAACCTAGTGCAAAATTGCACATGAACCTTAAATTCACATACTGAGTTGTCAAAGTAACAGTATCATTAGAACAATATAATAAATAAATAGGTAACTGCATGCCATCCAGTTGATTCTGCCTTATGGTCAGCCTTTCCAGTGTTTTCTAGGTAGAACACTGACAGCCTTTCCAGTGTTTTCTAGGTAGAACATTGACAGAAATGGTTTACCATTTCCTCCTTCTTGGGACATATGAAATGGTTTACCATTTCCTTCTTCTTGGGACATACATAATAGTCTATATTCTTCAGTAACTACACTTCAATACTAAACTCTTAATATTTGTTGATGTTTGCTTTGGAAGGTTATTGTAACCCTTCTGGGTTTTTCCCCCCACGAGGATGAATGAGTTTGATACTTAAGGCAAATATCTCCCACGATGCAATAGTTTTGTCATCCTGTTGACACCCTTCATTGACCCTATGTACAAAGAAGAGTTGTCCTCTTTCATTTCCCGGAGCCAGTTTGTATGCAATAGAACCAGCCTTCACCCTTTGAGTACTAGTATGGAAGCAAATAAGGGTTGCACTGTGGGTTAAACCGCAAAGCCTCTGGGCTGCAAAATTGAAAGATCAGCAGTCATAAGATCGAATCCACGCAACGGAGTGAGATCCCGTCGCTTGTTCCAGCTCCTGCCAACCTAGCAGTTCGAAAGCATGTAAATGTGAGTAGATAAATAAGTATCACCTCGGTGGGAAGGTAACGGTGTTCCGTGTCTAGTCGCGCTGGCCATGTGACCATGGAAACTGTCTACGGACAAAACGCTGGCTCTACGGCTTGGAAACGGAGATCAGCACCGCGCCCTAGAGTCGGACATGACTGAACTAATTGTCAAGGGGAACCTTTACGTTTACCTATGGAAGCAAGCAGGTACAACATAAATCTGTTTCTGCAAACAGGAAAAAAATAAGGTTAATCTGAGAAGGACTTGTTGCAGTTTCTGTCAACAAGACAGATGGTGAGGGATCTAGAAACAAAATCCTGTGAGGAACAGTTGAAAGGGCTGTTTATCTTTAGCTTGAAGAAGATTAAGTAGAGACCCAAGAGAAGTCTTCAAATATATGAAGGGTTGTCATATATAAGGTGGAGCACACATGTCATCTCTTGCTCTCGTGAATATAACAAGAACCAATGAGCAGAAGCCGCAAGGAGTGGGGAGTCAAACTAGAGAATACAACCAGCATATCATTAGGAGCAGGACTTTCTTCAATGCTAAAAGGCATCTGTTTGTCATAAAACATGTTTTCACACTGCTCTGCGTTCCAATGGGTTTTGTTTTTTAACCAGGATTTGCAAGGAAAAGATGGGATTCATTTGAAAGTCTGATTGCTCCAGGCGGGTATCTTTGCAAAAATCCTAGTGGAGGAGGAAAAACAAACTACAAGCTTCTAATTACGAGCATAGACTCTCACTGGTTCCTAGGTTTCAAGTGAACATTAAGGGAAACATGTTTTTGATAAGAGTTGTTTAACTGTGACACTAATTGCCTTAGAAGGAACTGGACTGTCGGTCAGTAGAAAATTAAACACAAGCTATGAGGCCAATTTTGCCCCAAACAGGAAGTTGGATTCAGTTACTTCTAAGGCTCTTCTAATTGCAAAATTCGGTGTCTTCCTTCTGATATAGAATTAGAAGGAACTGGACTGTCGGTCAGTAGAGAATTAAACACAAGCTATGAGGCCATCTCTCTGTGCGTCTGCATTTTCAAGAATTTTGCCCCAAACAGGAAGTTGGATCCAGTTACTTCTAAGGCTCTTCTAATTGCAAAATTCGGTGTCTTCCTTCTGATATAGAAGGGGTATTAATTTTGTTCCAGGTGCACTTCCTTTCTTCTTATTATAAACTTATACTTAGTATAAGTTCAAGACAAGAGACATTGACCATTTATGTATAATCTTGTGTTGCATGAGAAGGGCTTCTGTATATCTCAAGAATGCTGGTTCTTAATTTACAGGTTTTCAATTTCCCCCGGTTGTTTTTACACA